GACAGATTAGTAATATTTCTGTGTAAATAGAAATGCCATATTTTTCAAAATACTTGATCTTTTTTTTAAAAGGAAAAGCATATAGATATTTTATGTGCTACGTCTGTTGCTAATAGTGGATGCTGTGAAATTACCAGGAGCAAGATGACAGGGACTATACTGCAATTTCTGAATTCTAAATGTAAATTCAGCATTATGTTGCAACTAAATATATTTTGTGTATTTGTTTTATGTTAACTGTATAGCCAAAATATTTTCTCCATTTTTAAACACAAATGCAGAATATATGCGATTTCATTGCTTCCAGAAATATATGGCACTAAGCCAAATATAAACCAATAAATTCCTGAATAACCTGTCATAGTCTGGTGTTATCAAACCCCTTAATGATTCTGACTAGGTCAAAGGATGTCTGTGGCAGAGCAGAAATTAAACATATAAATAGCTGCAGCAATTCAATCAATATACCATGTATTAGGTAGTAAAATCCAGGACAAGCTGTTACTTAAAGGTGAATGTACTTTTTATGCCCTAATTAGAGATTGTGGAGAAGATGGTAATTTTTATATACACATTCATCATGAAGGGGTAGGTGCTGCAACAAAGCTGTAGAATTTACCTGGATCTCACAGTTATGGAGAGCTGTATTGCATTCAAATCCGAAACAGAGAGGCCATGCTATAGTTGGCAATATATCTATTTCTCATAATATAGCAATTTCTTTTCTTTAGGAATAAATGCTGGACCCATCAAGTGGAAACAAATCATCTGGTGGGTATAAGTGGCCTGTGGAACATTATTGGGCAACATAGCTTAAAGCTACAGGACACTTATTAGTAATTACAATGTAGCTAATCTTACCATTATGTTATGCAGAGATGATGATGATGATGATGATGATGATGATGATGATAAAAAAACAACACAGTGATGTTGACAGACTCTATTTACCAAGGAGCGTAGGTGGGCATGGAATGTTACAAGTATATCAGATAGTTGAACAAGAAAAAAGGGCACTGGAAGAATATCTGAAGGACAGTGAAGAAGATGCACTGAAGCTG